CGAGGGCGATGGCTCGGGTCTAATCGTGAGATTCTGAGATATATATTTCCCAAAACGCATATCAAAGAGGCTGCTGACACCAGCTTAACAGTTAGGTATGCACAGCGCGCACCGGCAGCCCACGCAGTTAGACCCATAAATTATTACTAACCACGCCTCAAATACTCGTACGTAAAAATATGTACCCATGTGTGACTAATACTCAAAACTGCAATATCTTTCGAAATACCCAGTACATCCACAATTCCACACGTTGCAAGAGAACGATCGGGTCATTGGCGAAAAGAAATTACAATAAGGTCATTGTTCGTATGAGTATTAGTTTAGGAAATTTTACGCGAAATGTCCGCTCGGTGGAACACGTGACGAATTTTTATATCACATTAATCGAGCCATGTTGGAATGGTGAAAACAAAGCCTCGCAGGTTCTTGGCACTTTCGGGCTAGGGCATTGTTCTTGCTTGTAGTGGACGCCAGGATAATGACCTTCCTTATACGGGGACTTTGAGCATTACCGTACACCTATTCAAAATGACAGGAAATACTTTGGCCATGACAATGTGTCAATATAATTCAAAACAAAAGCTTATCATGTTGCACTTTAGTACGTTGACCCACAATATTTTTCGGAAACAAACCTGCCACTGTTTGTAGTCATATTTCCGTGACCGTAACCAATGCGCTACGCACGACACTGGCTTGCACTGAAGCGTATCCTAGTAACGATTTCTGCATTTCAATATTCCTTCTATAAGATCGATCACATTATTTAACGTTTCTCGACCTTACCCACATTATTACACCGCTTTCGGCCACTTGTTTGCTTAAACATAACAAAACCTAATTTCATGGGCTCGTATCTCTAAATTTCAAAAGTTGTTCAGTAAAAGCAAGTCTTACGAAATATATAATTGGTAATAAAAGTTAACATTGCTGATCAGTTCTGTCTAAGTTTCTAATATAAATTGCATCTATATCACTAAATATTATGAAACAAAGTCGGATTTTCATGACATTTTCACCATCAGCAAGATAATTTTGTCATATCTATATATAGTATTCATATGTACTTTAATACATGCTGTGGAAAAATTCTAGTCTACTAAGGTTACTAATAACTAATAAAACCAAAAAAGTAAATCATTTAAATATTGTTCTTTTTTTACGTTTTACGTGAAAATGTATACCTCACCGTTGTTTTTTTTTCAATCAAGTAATTTACGTGTGCACTGCAATTACATGGTGTTAGTCAGTTGTTCAATCATACACCAAAGGAGCGGGTACTAATTGAAAACCTGCATTGTAAGAATCAATGATAATTTCCAGCAAATTGACGTGGTTTTTCCACTGCTTGTCATCTTTATTCTTTAAGCCCACCCAGCGTCACTAATAACATGCTACCGGGGCCGATGATGCAGGAAGTTCTCAACCAATCCATAGTTTTAACCAGTATGAAGCTATAGTCAATGGCAGAAAAAAATATTGAAATGAAATCTTTACTTCACTCGATAAAACCTTAAACTTTATACAGATGGAAAGAACTAAGAAAGAGAGTCCATTATGTGGTCGTACACTATAAGACGGTACGTAAGTACTCCATACATTTTAGGCTTTTAACACAATGATTCTAAATAATAAAACTTCTACTTCTCCTACTTCTGTTTTTTGTAGTGTATGATTAAAAGATATTTTTGGAAAAATACTATTCTATTCTTATATATAGAAATGAAAAGGATATGTGAAGCATCAATATAATACGAGTATTTCTTCTAAGAGTTATATTAACATCACGGTTTCCGCTACCTTTTGCTTAGAACTGAACTCTATAAAGAGAAGAATTAACGCATCAATCGATTTAACAAAGATTTGCTACGCAAGGAGGTTAATGGAACACGTTTTCACCTTGACATGGTGATGGAAAATATCAATTAATCTATCAAAATTTGCTAAGATTGCATTACTCTAGTATTGGCTTTTTAATATAAGTAAAGTTGATAATAAGTTAGGTCCTTAATAAGTAAGAAAATATACATATTACGATTGATGTTTACTTCTTTATGCAAGGTAAATAAGATGTCATTTGCGAGTGACATATAAAGTACAAAGGTCATTAGTTATACCAGTATACACCCCGGCAAACTTCTTAAGGAACGACCATAGACAAGGAAGCCTGCGCAGTTGATATTTTTCATACAAAAACGTCTACTGCGCAATTTTATGTCTGTGGTTTTGCTCAAAAAGTTTATCGTTACCTATGCTTAATTTTAACCGGTATTTTACTTGTTAAAAAAGTTATTTTATATGATAAAGACGGTAAACAAACTCATGATCTGCTTGATAGAAAATTGCTTACAGTTAAAGAAATGACAATCCAGAAATGACGATTCATACCGACCGTTTACCTGACTCAATTCAAATTCTGGCGTTATTTCTCTTCGACCTACATCACTGAATGATTGTTTTTCTTCGCAATTTTAATTTCAATGTGTTCTTTTTTTTAAATATGGTGTATACATAAATTAAAATAAATGTTTTGGATATAGAAATTTCGACGCTGTGTATTCGACGCTTTATAGTATGACCTAGAACTTGCTGAGACCGGTTGTGTGTGAGTCACCGAATCGCACAAACGATTTCCGAGAAACGCTGAGGTTCTTTAACCGTTTCCTCTAGAACCAAGAAATTCCACAACAAACTACTAAATCAAAAGCCTTTATTGACAACATTATTACAGCTTGATGATCGGTATGATTCTAAGGTGCGTTCACTTATTCTTATAGGATGCCCCATATTAAAGTAATAAACAAGCATTATTCCATAACTTGGTTACATCTTAAGATATGTATTAAAAAAATAACTAGGTTAAAACATTGAAATTTGGTTGTTGCTATCTGTATAAAATATGTTTTTTTTTTAATGACTTTTGCCAGTGTTCCTGATTCTAGCATAATCCTCTAAAAACTTAAAACAAAGTTCTGCAGCAATAGGTGTATTCTTATAATATGAGAGTGAAAACGTAGACATTTTTTTTATCTAAGTTTAGAAATTTATGCCAGAATCAGGTCCAGTATTATGTCGCTAGGTTAAGAAATATATAACAGATTAATTAATTTAGATCGTTCATGTTGCCAAGTGCTTTTAAATTAAACATCTTAAATTATTTCACGTTTATCAGTTATTAAAGCCTTGCCTTGTATTACGTCAAAATACTCTATATGCGATTCGGTTAATCACTTTCGTATTTCAGAAAAGTAAAAGTCTAAAGTTGGTTTTATTTAATGTCCATGATTCTACGAAATCTTGGTAAATTTGAGCGACGTCGAAATGCAAAGATAATTTGATGCATAAGAGATAAATAGCGCACCCACACTCATATTCCAAATCACACATCTTGTTCCCCTATTCCGTGGAGAATCAACAACCTTCTCACTGCAAAACTTGATCACGTTAAGGCTTAAATATGAATTTGATTACAAAATCAAAGTAGGAAAAGCCTTTTTCCTACCTAGGAAAATTTTCCCCTAAACGCACTAGAAATTTAAAAGACATAATACCCACTCAGCTTTTTTAATTTGTTCACTATTATACACTAACTCAACATTATGCTATCTTTAAATTATAGCATCCTGTTTACCGTATGTTACCAACATTGATTCATAGGGCATTTACAGCATATCGTATTTTACAAATACTACATTAATGACGCCAACTCATTGACTAAGTCTAATGACCAATAACCTTCCACTTCTACACATGTTTTCAATATTGAGAATGATTCATAAACGTAGGTAAGAATGTGTATAAACCTAACAGTGAGAGGAGATGAATGTAATGTTCTTGAGTAGGTGCGAAAACTGGGCTACGTATCTTGGTTGGGTGTGTGGCACACTTTATGAATGAACGGCGTATAGTACAACAGCACTCTTTGGTTTCAATAAAAATCGTTTTAGGCCGGCCGCCCTGTGAGTTCCAAGAAACATTGAGTCACATATTATGCAGCCATCTCGTTCGCGAATAAGTCATATCCGATTCTGTGTTTTAAGATAAAGTTAACGTTTTATGATATCACGAGTTTTTTATCCATGCTGATCAGGAAGCTAAGGAAGTGTGTAGTATGAGTCAGTTATTTTATCATTGATGCCCTGATATCATATTTGTTAAGTTTAATTAAATTTTTATGTTTTATGCAATCCATAAAAGATTAATAGACATTTATTTTAGTTTAGTTTACTAAAAGTCTTAGCTTATTTTTATCTCTTTTGAGAACATCTTGTAGGTATGTTACTTGCAAATTCTCTAAGAAAATTTGAATACTCGAATAACAAATTTATAAACGAAGAATAAGCTAGCATTACTTACTCCATGTTTTGACTCTGTTGATTGAATATCAAATGACATTTGAGTCATATGAACAAAACACGGCGTTACTAGTCTAAACTTATTGCACGTTCATTAATAAGGGGGTTAAGTTATATATGTAACTGCATGTTCGATATTGTGTAATACCTGTCTATATTTACTCTATTCACTTGAAAATCCACTTGTGAACTTGTTTCTTTCCTATCAGTACCTAGTGATGACTTAATCATTGATATGGGTACTTAAGCTGTCCGGTTAGGCTTGTCTTGGGTGACGTTTTTGTACATTCCAACGTCGAAATTAAAAACAACCGTCAAAGTAATAAAAACAAGTGGTGGTTTTAAAAAAATTATAGCATATTTGCAAATGAAAAAATAACTATAAACGGACGCCATTTGAGAGCTACCGTGATATGGGTAATGCTTATATTTTTAATAAGACTAATATTGATAAAATCAATCTGTAAAATTTATGTTTTTGAAGATTTCAACTTAATATGGGAAAACATATTTATCAACAGATGAGATGAGTAGATCAATCATCATTTTAGTTGTCGACTTCATAATTGGAGCATACCGTATTTTGAGGATGTGAATAATTTTAGATTAGTAAAAGCCGAAGAAGCAGCTTGAAGTACTCACCATCGCCTTGTCGGTGGTCCCGAAGGTCGGTGCCGCGCTGCTCCTGGTGAAGAATACTAGCGCCACCACGGCCGTCCACAGCAATCTCACGCCTACCCTCATACTGATCACCGTCATATTGCTCGATAAGCTCGCTCTGCTTTCACGCTGACTCATTTATTACTAATAAAATTTTCTATCAAAAATATAATTCTGCTCTATAAGGACGGATACGTCATTTACAAAATAAGAAATCTCTCTTAACCAAAATTCGGTTAAAGGCTTCCAAAATACTACATTGATCTATTGCTTTGACGATATGATAGCTGCACCGCTATCTGTAACAAATAAAAAAACGTTTTATTAATTTAATTCGATGAATAAGCTTGCTTATATATATTTCAAACATGTTAACTACCTTAAGATATAGAGGTCGTGATCTTTCGGTATTAGTCACGTAGGTGACTCATTCTTATCATAACATTATTAATCAAAAGAAAAACAAGGAGTTACGTTTTGGATAATAAACACTTTTTCTAGAGTGCATTGAAGCGAAGGGGTCTTCTTACTGTAGATTCCATCGTAATCTTCATTATCAAATGTGAACAGTGATAAGAACTGTCAATACCACGGTCTCTAGCTTACGCCGACCTACATATTGTGAACATAATTTTGGGTTAGTCTTGTCAACAAACTCTATTATCAACGAAAGATAAATAGTTTCACGCTGAAGTGTGGAGCCAAACAATGGTGACAACCATTAACGAAACACTGTTTCATTTATAACCCTTTTTGAAATATTACAAAAGCTTTAGCGCACTAGAAAATTATCAAGGTTTTGCCGACCTTCTACAGGTTTTTTTATACATACAGACGACGAAGTAAATGACTAAACACAACTTCATGTTAAGCAGTATCCATGCACATACTGTTGAGCCGGTCTCATGTTTGACTGCCGGGACTGAAGTCATAAAATTGATAATAACCAATATATCGTTAACTACTTCGTGTCGTGTTGCTCTTCTATTAAGAACTACTAAGGTGAGGGTGGGATGGATGACGATGACGATCACGATTTGTTTTTTCAATCAACTTTAAGTGTACCTACATGACTCTGTCTTCTGTAGGCGGAGCAAACAGAAGTCCATCAGAAAATCCTCTGCGACTTACCAATCACACGTAAGTAGTATCAATATTGTGATTATAAATTACTATGCTCGATACTTATCGATTGCGATGATTTGTATTAAAATCGATAATTTTACTTGATTCTGCCGAAACCGAAAGCGTAAATCAAACAAGGTGTCGCCAACAATGTTCCGCTCATCGGAGCGTGACGAGGTGGCGGTTTCACCGACATTGGATTCTGTGTTAGGTAACACCTGATGCCGTTTACCCAAACATTTTTTCCATAGGAAGCCTGAACTAACCACTGATTGCGATGCAAATTTTGGCATAAAATTTATTTTATATAAAATCGATTACTGTCTAGTGGAATGGTCTAATCAATTCGACCCCCAAATGAGATTGTTTCTGTTTGAAGTTCATTATTATTCGTTTGAAATATCAAATATCTGTTTACTTCATTCGAGAATAAAGTGGCAGAAATACTTACAGGGATTTTTTTTATAATTATCTATAAGAGAGATCCCTAAATGTTCAATTACTTGTTCTAATGATAACATTTAATGCTGTAGGTACGCGTAAAAATTTATAAATAACCTTTTAACTAAAAAAATCCTTTTCTACTTTTACAGATTGCTTTACAGAAACACGGGTTTTAAAGTAATCTGCATAGATGATAAGGTATTAGGTATGATTTAACTATTATTTATAGAGTTTAATTAAATCTTTTCACTTATCTTATCTACCGGAAGACTTACAGTAATAATATTTGTCATTTAATAAATTATTTACTGAAGCAGTAAAAAAACATACTTCTTATTTTTTTTTAAATTGAATTGAAGATCAGCGAATATTTCCCGCGCATGTCTAACACCTATTTAGGGCTGATGTTCATTTCTTAGAGAAAAAGTCGTCTGTTATAGTATTTTACGGATAAAAATGAAAGTTGAAATATAATGTGTAATTAAAACTGATTTCTGATTTGGCAGATGAGATTTTTTGTATTAAAGCATGTTTCATGCTGTGGCAGCAATACAAGAAAACTCGCTACTAGGCTTACAAAAACAATTATTCATTTTAAGGTATTTGTGTTCGCTTATACAATAATGTCCCAAGCAATATCCAAGAGTTAACCATAAATAAATTCAAAAATGGTATGAAAAAATCACTTATTAAAAAAAAATTATTACATCTGATTATATTACAGACCAAAATGATTGTGTTTGAGCTGTTCCAATCATTCCAACAGGTTTTCTATAATCTTTTTTTTCATTTTCATAATATTTTTCTATATCTAAAAAAAATTATAACTATAACTTTCTATAATTAAATAAATCATGATTGTATTGACGTTGGACAAACTTAATGATTTTTAAATGTTGTTACATTATACTTTTAATGTTGTGGAGCTTTTTCGATCGTTTTTCTCCACAGCTAAAACATATGTCCAATAACGAGTGGTAGGGAAAAAACATTGATGGACGATTCAAGACAGTTGTAATACATCCAATTTGAATAAAGATACATTGATTTCTGAATTCTGATTTATCGCTTTGTGCTTAATAATCATCTAAAAAAGCCAAGGTTAAGTTACCCTTTTTTTATTTAATCAATCAATCTATGATTTGATTGTCATTTAATTATATGCCCTTCTTTGCCTTATTTAATTGCATCTTAACAATGATTTGGCGAAACCCATTTTGACAACAGTTTGCGACAAAGCCATTTATAATCAAAGCATTCGTAATAAAAGCTCGATGAAAAATGGTTGCTACTACTGGCACTAAAACCTACTAATGCGTTTTGTATTGGTAAACATGCATATAAACAATAGCAGTCATAACATTTGCTTTACGACATGGGGTCAAGCAAGCATCCCTGGATTTTTTTTTACATAATTTTAAAGTGATTTTTTATACCATTGCCACAATTTTTTTCGTTCATCTTTAGCATGTCGTCAACAAGCATCGGTGGGTCAGTGGTAGAAAGCTCAGCTCGATTCCCATCTGAGTAAGGACTTTATTATTTAATTTTAAGTTTCACTTGCATCGTGGTTTTTATAGCTTTATTGAGACGCATTTTAACAATGATTTAGCTAAAACCCATTTTGACGACAGTTTGTCCATTCGTAATACTATCATTTATAGTGCTACTTACTAGAGGGGAAGGCAGACATCAAATACGGTTTTGCATTGATAAAAATATATGTACATAAACAAAAACAGTCATAACATCTACTTTAAGACATTGTCACATCAGGCATCTCTGGTAACAGATACGATCTGTTTTGCATGCAGACTAGTCAACCGAACGGGCTCTCTGGAGATGACTTGCGCAGCCTTCGCTCGCCTTCCTACTTCCGGATATTCGGTGACAATACTAATAACTCCTATCATTGTATAACTTATTCATTGTCACGTTTACATTAATACGATCTTTAGCAACGTAATTGAAATGAAAAAATATCTAAGTTAGTTTACATCACTTGCAACTAGAGAGCTGAAAATTATTTGTTCCAATCTAGGTGTAATTTTGATTATTTTCAATCTTACCAAATTAAGATGAGTTCTTTGATAAAATAAATCTACTGATAATTCTTACATAACTTAATTAACGAAATCGAAACTAATTTTACGTATTTTGATTGATATTGCTTTTTTTAAATACATATCTTAACTAAATTCTAACGTTAATGTTCTTCTTTATGTTTGAAACTAAATAAAAAAATAAAGTACCTATTTTAAAATATGTTTTTAAACAGTAAAAATTAATTTAATGGGATAATGATTATATCAAGTTATAGATTTATTATAAAAAAAAACTCTTTTGCCCAAAAAATACTGGCAAACTTGTTTCTAAATTATAAATGAAAGTGAAAGGTAAGATAAGGAATTAATTCATGTAACACTGATAATCACAAAATTTTAAATACTATTTGCTTAAGGTTGTGAATTTCATCCTGAGTTGGATCTTAGTGGAAAAGAAGGAAGGGTTGAAGGAAATGCCTTTTCCAAAGACGTCAAATACAGATGAAAATTTGGACAGACCTTCGTCATTTTAGGAAATTTATGTTTAAGATTGATTTAAACACTATAGATTACAATGATTAAAGTATTTGCCATATTTTCAAAATATCACGCCCTGTGGTCATAAAACGGAAATGAAAGTTTCATAGAAAAATCATTTTCCTTCAGCATTTTTAAGGTTTTAAGCGGGTGAAACCGCTACTAGTATTTACTTTTAAACTTCTACTTCTTATAACAACACAAAATCATATTAATATAATTAAAAAGGAGTATGTTCAAAAATAAAACAACAAAGGCAATCAAAATTATCCGTGTGGGGAAACAGAGATCCAAAAACTTAGTTTTAGAAACAAGGATAATCTAAGAGCATGTAAGAATTCGTGAAGAACGTAAATAATGCGTAAACTAAGTATATTCTTAATTTATTTAATTATTGTCCAGCAAATATTCCTATATAGTGATTAACACAGTTTTACCTCATTCTGGTTATGTCATCAAAGTTGTGTAATTCAATGTCTACGTCAATGGTCGTAAATATTTTGCACTGAATCACTATAACATTATGTATAGACAATGATACCACAGCATGATAATCAGCCTGTTAATCTCTACTTCTAGGGCCACAAAATTTTTCTATGGAAGCAATTGGCCGGCTACGGGTCCGGTGCAGTTTAATGGTGCTAAAGACTACAGATGCAGCTGAGACCAACGAGTTATCGCGATTTATTTATTTATTTATTCTTTATTGCCATTAAAACAGTAAAGGGCGGACTTAATGCCATATGCATTCTCTACCAGTCAAGCAGTAAAGGTGTAAAAGATGAAATGTAATGGCGATAGAATAGGAGCTACTAAGTGAGGACAAATATAAATGATAAAACCTATCTACTACTTAACTTCACTATAACAATAATAAATAAAAAATACTTGCTTCAGCAGTGCTATACTGTAAGAAAAATCTGAATTTTCACCTCGCAATCCCTGGAGTGAATTTAAAATTAGAACAAGAATTTCCCATAAATTTCAAATCACACCGGCGCGGACTCCGCGGTGAAAAGTGAGTCTGTTCATGTAGAATAGTACTGTTGATAACACATTAGAGATCACCAATTATGTTGATAGGTGTGTAAATAGATAGGAACTCGATGACATAATATGTAGTATTTAGCGCGTTAGGTTTGCGACTGTGGAACCAAAGCAATTTCCCAGAGGTATATCATAGGATGTGTGATCTAAAATTTATCACCCTAAACTTCTCCATGCTTTTTCGAAATCTAAGCATAAGTATAGCTTTTCAAAATCAATAAAAATTATATACAATTATTGTCTAACATAACCTTTACTGCGTAATCTGATTGACATGGTCGTTCATATGATATTTACCAGAACAGGCGGTGTTTACACAGACTGTGACAGAAAAAAAAATATTAATGATACAGAACAAGCATTATCATTAAATGATTTCTGCGTTTGTGATAGTGATTCGTGATAGTAGAAATAAAGCGACATTTAAAGCAATTTTTCTTCTGGGCTTATTTAAATGTATTTTTAATGCATTATGATTGTAATGTATTATTGAATATCGAGGAGCTCAAAGCGGAAGTGTTTAGCGCTGTCGGCCTGCAATCGTGGAAATTAAGCAACTTATTTAATGGTAGGTCATATTATGGGTGACCAAAAAAAGTATCTCAATCTCTACGGGCTATGGAAAGCACTGTCAGCCAGCCGTTGGTCCCAACTGCATTTGTAATCCACCCACCAATCAGCACGGGTTATTGATGGGTGCTTACGACATAAATTGGGTTGAACAATTCTAATCAACATTCAAAACCTATGTATCAGCAGTAATTTCAATATTTTTTTTAAAGTACAATATACAAAAAAGTAACAAGGTATCAAACCTTATTACTTATCTTACATAGAAAAACTAATTTGCTAACCTTTTTCCGACATTTATTGTTATTTGTCACTTTACGGTTTAGGCTGCCGTACTATGTAAACAGCGCGACACAATATTGCATGTGAACGAATAAAGTACGCTAGCGCTTAAGTAATTATGTTTAATTTGTGATGTTGATGTAAAATATTTGGCTTTGCATTGGTCTTTAACGAAAACTTAAAGATAGTTATTGCTTTAGGCGGCTCTGAAGAAATAATTTAAAGTATACTCATGAAAGAAAATATAAGAAAATCTATAGGTATAACAAATTTATCTTACATTATATGAAATCTAAACTTAATATAATTTATATCCTGAGATATATAACGGATATCCTGAGATTGCTAAGTCAAAAAGAACATTAGGTAATTTCGACATTATATACATACATGGAAAATTCATACTGCGTGCACTTATTCCAACTCCATTTCCATATATAAGAATTTTCAAAATTATGTTTTTTCTTTCGAACTTAATTCAAACTCGCAGCACTTTTTGGGTATTACTTTGAACTGAACTTTATGTAAGTAGAATATACATATATTATGTATGTCAAGGAAATCTAAAATAACGACGGATTCGAGATAACCTACCTTCAAAGTCGGTCAATTAGGCAACGAAAATCGTTCGGACTCCATTAGGAACACTCGAAATGTGGTTCTTAATTTAGCTTGTTTACTTACTTGTGAATAAAGTGGTACCCAGGTCCAATTTTTAGATCACTACGCTTCAATAATCTAACTTTATTTAATGTTAAAAGTGTTACAGCACTGGCCATCGAAAAAATATTGCACCTCATTACAAATTTTCATTAACTTTTTCGAGTTCTAAAAAGTTTTGAAGCAGTGAACATTTTGTCTTTGTATGCGACCAAAGAAACTAACTTCAAACAAATGAGTAGAGTCAGTTGTTTGTTCTTATCTGTTGATAACGTTACGTCCTTATCCACTTGGGTTATCTGATAAGACACTCTTTGGTTTCAAACATTTTTTTATCACGCTTAAGTTTTGTCACCTACGTAATTCCGAAATTTTATAGATAATATGACAACACATTAACTATGAGATATGAAATTAACAACACACCCTCGGTTTAGAAATGTATTAAGGTGTGTTAAATAGTTTTTGGGTACTAACCAAATAAGAAAAACCAAAAGTACTTTAATC